AATATCTGAAATGATGACACCAGAATGGGGACCTTGATAAGCTCCCAGGCTGAAGGGGTCTCAACCTTAGAAGTCTATCAGGGTTGGAGAAATGACAATAAGAACTAAATGCAAATAAATTGTGTACTTACTGTGTTTCAAGCCTTGTTCTAAGAGCTCACTTAATCATCACAGTAATCTAATAAACTGGGTAGTATTAGTATTTTTAGTATCTCTATTTTAATAAATGGGGTCTGGATGTGATGCTGTAGGATAAGCAAGGCAGTTCAAGCCCACCAGCCACTCCTTGGAGACCCCACACAGGGTGGCTATGAGCTGGAACCAACTCGATGGCACTTAACAAGTTTATAGATGAGAAAACTAAGGCACAGAGAGGTTATGTGACTTGCTCAGGGTCACCCAGTTAGTAATGGGTCAAACTGGTGTCTCAGTCTTTTTTAGGACAGGGGTGGCTGTGGAGAGGGGTGCTGCAAGGTGTTTTGTGAGTACCACAGGTGCCAGCTTCAAGGCTCTGGCGGGGTAGGACGTGCGATGCTCACAGCAATCCCTCCAGAAGCGGAGAGGGTGACACCCTAGAGACAAGGTTCCGTTTAAAGCGCCACACCCCTTTTACAAGTGACTAAAAAGCAGTGCCCGCTTTGAAGGGGTGGGAAACCGAGGCTCCCCAGTGGCCCAGAGCGCAAAAAAGAATCTCCCAGCGGGTCCTAAAAGGACCAGAAAAAAAAGAAAGAGAAATAATAAAAAAAAAAAAAAGGTGGAGGGCAGGGCGCCTTCTCACTGTGGGACTAGCGCGCCGGGGGCCCCACCCAACAGGCCCCTCCTCTGGGCGCGCTGCCAGCCCGCCCGCCAGTGCCCAGGCGGCGCCACGCCCTGCCTCCAGAGGCCCCCCCACTTTCCAATCCCCCTGGGACCCCTTCCATAAGTCTATGCGGACTCCCCCCTCGTTGTCCACCACATGCTCTACTGGTGCCTCTCCTCATTCCGTGGGCCAGGAACACCGGACCACCTTTCCCAAATCCCCACCGACTTGCCCTGCGCCCTAGATTCAGGCCTCCACCAGAAACCCACTCACCCACGCCCCACTAACGAACACCCACCAGTCACGTGCCTGGCCCACGCGGGCCTGCATGACTCCGTATGGTCCAACTAACCCACCCCGCTTTTGCCCACCAGCTTGCCCCGGGACGCTCACAATCTCAGCAAACAGGAGAATTCCCTTTCGGGTGCGCGAGAAGTTGGTACAGGCAATCCAACAGCCGGGGGCTGAGAGGCGCTCGGAGTCCGCCATGGCGTGGACCGGACCGGAGTCCTTGGGGGTACAGAGGATCTACTTGCTTGCTCACAGGTTCGAGGGCGCTGCACACCCCACAGTAGTGCCCGTCGTCTGGCTGGGAAGGGGGCCCCCGGGGCGAAGGAGGGAGTGAATCACCGCGCGGAACCGAAGCGGGCGGGGCCAGAGAGGCCGGGCCAGGTGGCTGCCGCCCCGGAAGCCCCCTCGCCCCGCCCTCCAAGGATACTCCCCTCCCAGTGCACATCCCTCGGGCACCCCATCTCCGGAGGGGTCTGCTTTCCAGATACCAGGGGCGACTTGAGTGGAGACCCTTGCCTTTTGTAAATTTCAAATGCGTTCCAGGCTGCCTCAACTCAGAACCGCGGGAATCTGACTTTCGGAAGATTGACTCAGTTTCCTTAGTTGTAAAATCAGACAGCGATTAACGCTGAAAGACTCAGAGCTAGGTTGTTGTTGCTGAGTACCGTGGAGTCAGTTCCGACCCTGCATAAGTTTCCCACAAGAGGTTGGTAAGGTTTGAACTGCTCGCCTTTCGGTTCAAATCGACCTTGCTGTCTGGTACTTTCCCTGCAGCGCCAAGAGCTAGGTATCTTTTCGGAATTCGGGATATTTCAAATTCTCAGAAAGTTTCCCTGCTGCATATACAGTATACGAGGGGGCTTAAAAAAAGATCCACTGTCTTTCGATTCCATTTTCCCACGAACTTTTTGAAAACCCCCCTTGCATTACTTAACACACACAGTGGAGTTGCCCCCGCCCCCCATTTAAAAAAAAAAAAA